AAGTGGGTAACAGACGTTAAGCTGCAGAAGACGAGCAGTGGCGAATTCGCGCTTTCTTTCCCAGGGCAACGTACCGTACATAATCTGGTAAAGAGCATGCAGTACATGCCGGAATACTCGCCCCAGCAGCAGGCACCGAAAAAGCATAAGCATAAGCTGGTTATCGAAGAAGAGGATGTGGTAGTGGAGGAACCTGTACTGCAGATGGATCCCGATACTCCAGCGTTCAGGCGAACAGCTGTCGTTACGCAGGATCCAGATAAGAAGCCTTTCGACTTCATGTCGAACCGGCCTGTGCCGAGAACACCGCCGCAGCCACCTGCCGATCCAGTCGTCGAGCCAGCCGTCGAGACTCCAGTACAAGTAGAAGAGCCGGTGGTTGTGGAAAAGAAGGTGGGGATTAAGCCTGCGTCGCCTACTCCGACAGCGGAAGTAGACACTACGACAAAGAAATCCGCCACCGACCCAAGCCGCTTGACCGACCTTGAAAAGGCTGTCAAAGCATCCCAGAAGGAGATTGCATCTCTACGAGCAACAACCCGTGATGTCATCACTATGCTTGCAAGCGAAAAGATCGTTCGTATAGAAATACCAAAGACCGAAGCCCAGTCGGAGGCTGATGCGGAAGCCAAATGGCGGCATGTGCCTCTCACAGACATTGACATCAAGTTCGCGGTAAGTCTCCACAAATCGAGAACATAGCAGCAATACTAATTCACCTATAGCTCACAAAACGCATGAATCAACTCACTGGCCTCTACATCTCCGACCCGAAGCTGACCTCCGCCGAGACACTCGGTGAACTATATCACCACTTCTGCGCCGCGGCTAAGCCGAAGCCAGCACGCCTCTTCTCCCAGATCCACGTCCTTGGCCAACGACAAGCCCAAGTCGCAAAACAGGCTGCTCAAACGTCTGATCCAACGGTCCCGACCCCTCGCACGAAACCCAACATCAGCACCCTCCTCAAGCTCAACAATGTGGAGATCCACCGCACGCGACCAAACGCCTTCGAAGAACGCAAGAAGAAGGGTCTCAACAAGGTTATCGGGAAAGAAATACGGGCTCGTGGGCTGAACAACGACTACCGATCTCGCTATACATCACAGACGGAATCCATTGAGGGCACAAGGAAAGTGCCGAGATTCGGGACACCGGTGAGCCCGACTGCGGCGACGTTGTTGAAAGAGAGGACAGAAAGGATAAAACAAACGTTATTTGAGAGGCCGATACTGGATGGCGGGATGGGAATGGATGCGAATAAGATCAATATGATGATGAGGCGGAGGAAGATCATTGAGTAGGTAGGAACTGGGAGAGGGTCAGGGGTGGTGTATGAGTAGCTTGGTGGGTAAAAGGAAAGCAGAAAGTGTATTGTACATACGTATGTGGAGTGTTTGCAATGTACGTGTAGGTTATAAAACTCGTGCAGCGGACAAAAAAGGGGTTTGTTGCCGCATATTGCAAACTTTGTCACTGTCTTACTTTCATACGTCCGCCGTTATCCTACCATTTGCATCAACTGCCTGGCCACAACTATCTCGTCAACGCTGTAATATTCCAAAGCATCCTCCTGCCATTCCATGCAAGCTCACGTTCGCCCCAAATAGAGACCATGTCACATCTCATATTATACATAGGCCAAGCTCGTGGAGCTCCGTTTAGGGGCTGGGTGCCAATGGAGATTTGGAATGAGAAGTTCCGGAGGGCTCGACATCACGAGATCATAGTTCAAGACATCCATGAAGAGAGCATGGAGAGCAAGCAGGTGGAGTTAAATGCTGGATTGACACGGAAGAAGTGGCTGTACAGGGAACAAACGATGGGTGCTTGTTTTCCTTCCAGATGGTTGTTTAGTAGTCTCACTAGGTATATAACAAGCAAACATTTTACTTTATCGATCAACTTATAAAGCTGATATCCATTCACTTGACATGACACATTAAAGCTAAACACGCTACAATACGAAAAAAAAACACTTTGACAAATGGATAAACACGCAGAATCCCGAGAGTCTCTCTCCTTAAGCTCGACCCAAGCACCAGACCAACCACTCCAGAATCCGCCCTCAGAATCGATATCCAAGAAGCCCACTCAGCCCGATGAAAAACAAGCACGTAATCGGAACCATCCCAACACCAGCTTCATCGACTGGCTCACCGAGCTCTCGTACCCGTCATCGAAAGTCGTGGACCCAGAGAGTGCGACTTTCGCGATAGGTGGTGGGCATGTGTATGGATTCATGTGCTGGAAGTGTAAAGAAACGGTCTTTGGTATGGGGAAAGAGTTTATTGTGCGCTGGAGGACCATGGATGGAGAAGAGGATGCAAAGGCAATTTGTGAGAAGTGTGGGCTGATGGGTATGGACTTGCAGGGGAGGTGGTAGAGAGAATGGAAAGGGAAGGATTGGAACATGGTCGAATGTGAGGAAAGACAAGGTATCGTGCTTTGTTAGGTTGGAGATATGTTGTGGTGTGGTATGGTAGCAATTATTTGCGTCATCGGGGCAGTGTGTGTAATCTCTCAGCCTAGATTCAATCGAAATTCATCTCTTACAATTCGTGGTCCTTCGTCCATCGCCCCCTACTTTCCCCCCTTCCACAATTAACGCCCTACCCGTCCAAACACCCCCAAAAGCGTTGCCAGCCGGTTCACATGCAAAAAAGCACTCGCTCCAATATTCCCCCACATCACATCATTATACACATTGAAATCTAACAGCATCTCCTTGCCCATGACCGCATGGCTCGCACATATATGGCCTAGGTCGGCTACCGCCACGAATAACAGATAGTACTTTGTGACGCGCGAGTCTCGCGATATAGCAGTACATACGATGGCGAGGAAAGCAAGAAGAACGAAGATGTTGGCGAGCGTATACGCAAGAATGACTAAAAATCGCGGGCGCAGAGTTAGCGTTGTCTACATGTAGGATGGCTTGTTGCCTTAAAGCCACGTGGTGTGCTAATTGATAGATCTTCTGTCCAAGATACGTACTTGCGCCGTTAGATTCTGGGACAAGGGACGTAGCAGTAGGGTACTGCCGAGAGACAAAATTAGAGGGACTCTTGAAAGCGTCGTAGGCGCCAAAGAACCTGACATGGGATGTTAGTGTGTCTTGGAGGGGAATAAGGGGTAGACGTACAGTGCGAGGGGCTCGAGGTAGCTGAAGACCAGCGCCGGCCAAAATGGAAGGTTTGTTCCGAGTGCCATCGTCGGATGTGTTTAGATGGTGTTGACTCTTATTGCTTAATGAGGTTGGTTCGTGATGTGGATAGCAGTTGAGAGGTGCAATTGCGGAGTTCGAGCTGATGGCGTCAGTGGCGCCTCGTATCGGACGGAACGATTCCGACAATTATAACAGTTGAATAGTGCTGATTGGTCAACTCCGTTGATGGGAGAAAGTATTGAGGATTTGATGTTTATTAATTTGCGCTAGGGATATCAAGACGCTCTACTACCCACCCAGGGCTACTACCATAGCGATGCCACTCGCTAAGAATCAAGGTACCCTCACCATCCTAGTCCTTCCGAGAGCCTACCCAATCATTAGTCTCTGGCAGTCGACCTGAACCCACGAGTAAGCGATGAAGGCAAACATAAAAGCAAGAGTGCTAAGGGTGTGAAATGCTGGTGACTACTGTTTGAGTCTCATACCTGCCAGATCCTCATGGGCGTCTTTGAGAAGGAAACTGATCACAGTTAGCAAGACAATCAGCGCACAAGAGGTGGGAATAAACTTACTTATACCACCAAATGGTCGGTCCCACGGTCCCCAGATGCCAAAGGCTATGCGCATCAATCATTCCCAACCACGGCGGAAAGTCCAGCAGCTCGAAGCTCATCGCCAGCAGTATCCACGCGACGATCAGACCCGGCCACATAGCCCACACCCTTCCCACCTTCTTGTACCGCACGTAGGAAAACCCGCTCCACAGCAGATTCTGCACACATCCAACCGCCACATTCGCAGCCATGTTGTACGTGTAGTCCCAGCGCCATAGCGACAGATAGGCTACGTGTAGCGTATACAGCAGTATGCACGTGATAGTCCACAATCTCAGCACAGACTGCTTCATCGGATCCTTCTTGTCCAGCCTAAACACCCTCACCACCGTAAAGTACATGCCATACAGCACGCTCGCACCCGCGCCAAAATAGTCCAGTTTCTCCGTCAGAGGGAAGTCCCTGGTGTGGAACACGATACTGAACACCCAGCTCGCAAGCCCAAAGTATCCGAACATCATGTAGTATTTGCGCAGCGGGTACGAGACCGGAATCTTCTCGCGCAGCTGCGACATGCCCCAGTCATGGGCCAGGTAGTTGAAGAGCGAGAAGATGACGGAGAAGGGCTCCTGCATGCCCCCGAAGCGATAGAAGGGCCATTTGCCGTGGAACTGATAGATTGGCTGCAGGTACGAGGGTTCGCGGGCGAGCCGTTTCTCGGTCACGATGTGCTGGCAGGCGTAGTCGCATTCCGAGGGGCAGTCCCAGAGGAGGACGCGGCGGTTTAGGGCTGTGATTGTCAGTCTACGGTTCTCGAAGAAAAGACGAGAGGAGACATACGTATCGGCGTCGCCTTTTCGCCGCAATTGGCCTCTTTGCACACCTAGGGGAGGGTCAGTCGCGAAGCTTCAACGTCTAGGGAGGGCTCCATGCCGCCAAACAGTCCTTGAAATCTGGCAACCTATCACCGAGCGAGGCGTGCACAGTTCCGCTCAGCAAAAGAAAGGTAGCAATGGTGTGCCATGTCCGAGCTCCGCGTATCCTCATCGTTCCGGTGCGGGTGTGGTGTGCTCATGCAATTGCTGGGCATGTCGCACACTCCTACCCTCCGATGATGCACGGGGCTTGTCTTAGCGCGCCTCGCTTGAACGTACCTGCCAAGCCCGCCCTGCCATTGCAATTTGCAAAAACAAAGCGGCGAGATTGGAACTAGTGTCGCAAAAAGGAGTTGGGATGGAGGTCAAGGACATCTCGCGGGCAAAAAAGAAATGTGTTGGACAGGTAGGGGATCGAACCCTAGACCTCCCGCAGGCTTTAAGACGCTCAAGAACGTCTGTTGCAAAGCGGGCGCTCTACCACTGAGCTACATGCCCTATCATCTTTCTCTGACCGATGAGGTTTTGTGAAATTACAAAATAACTATTCTGCAGTGAAAACATTCACTGGCACAGCTACGCTAAAATCTCGTTCTCTATCTCGCCCCACCCGGTCCTCAAACTTCCACGTCACTATATTACGCATCATTCTACACCACTATGCGCTAGCGCTGCTATGAACATATATACCATTATGCTTGGCGTTTACAGCTTGATTCACTCGCAACATAGCCAACTGCTCGCTGCCCTTCTATTAGGCAAAACATGCAAGACATTATCGATGCATGATCACAGAGGTGAGTTTACGTCTTGCACCTGTGGTTTATCTTCTCTGCTAATCTACAACACATGCAGTATCCTTAAACTTGTTGTCCGACATTTTCAGCACTCAGTTGACCTTACAGCGGGAGGCTTGAGGCTGAGACACTGCTAGCTTTTTCGTAAACGCCATAGCCAGAGCCGAACCAAGATTGCTGCGTAGAACGTATGAGAAAGCTTTTAGCAAAAAAATGCGGGAGATCAAGGCAATTGCAAATTCGATGCACTTATTGACGGTACATTGCAGCGTTCCTGCCACCTGTGTAGATGTAGATGTAGACGTAGATGTCGATGAGAAATCTAGCGGTACTGCTCCAGAAGATTGTGAAGATCCCGGCGTGACTATATGCGTCGCAGTGTTAGTGTGTGACGTATAGGACGAGATGAAAACACTAAGCAAAGCCGCAAGTATAATATTACTCTTAGAAATCGTACTCAAGGAGATCTTGGGCACAGACTTCACAAACATGTGCTTCTGCCTCTTTGTCTTCTTATTTCTCTTCGGATCCCAATCATCCACAAGAGTCTTTTCAAAAAAGACTGGCCACTGGTCCGGTGACTCCTCTGCGTCATAGGAGAAAACACCATCGTCAGCGCTTTTGGCTGGCACATGCCCAAGAATCCCGTCCAGGTACGAGGAAGAACCCGCTCTCGTGATTGGGTTTGCAACAGTCTTCTGCGGAACGCCATATTGATCATGAATGCTACATAAACATTGCTTCAAGTAAAAGACACAAAGGTAGAGACACAAGCTCAATGCCTCAGCACGACTTGACGTATCATATCAACCTTCATGTCAAAGTCGGAAGTGTGTCAGTGTTTTGTACTAAGATAGTGCGTGAACGGATCTTATTCAGGGCTGTCAGCGGCAACTTATGGCTCACTGAGCGACCATGGAACATTCAGGAGACCTTTCTGTTGTATATTTTTCAATGTTGTAATCACGCTCAAAGCTTGTCGCGCCACAGAGGCATTCGTCAAGGTCAAAGACAGTGTTAGTAGCTCCGTTGTTTCGCAATTGGGACATACGTCAACTTTTACCAGCGAGGTACAACAAGTGTGCGATACTAATATCCACTCAGGAATTTATCCCGAGGCCTAAGAGGAGAAATTTGGTTATGCTACTCCAGTTTAGGAAGAGATCATGCAAGGAATATACTTAGTATGCAACTATAGAATCGCAGACAACTCCGCACGCTAAATAATAACGTTTAACATGCATGCATACTAAGCGCATCAATATCTTTTCCCCAAAGTTTCTCGGATGTCACTCTTTCACCCCTCATCTATTTTCTCATAGAGACTATGAGCTCAACCAAGTTCCCTTACTTTGAAGACGGCCAATCCGATTATTTCAGTTGGTATGATCCGGACGCCCTTGATGAGCGACTGGCAAGAATATCAGCTTCTGGAGATTCCGTATATCTATCTGCAGTTCATGGAGAGACGAGCAGCCTTGACTATCCGGAATCTCAACTTTCGGATTACCAACATAGCGAGCGTGGTCCTGGTTACGAACAATCGGCATATGTAACAAGACCTACAACTGGCCAAATTCATCAGTATGGAATCAAATCCCAACCTACAGCCTCAAGGCTTTCGAATCAAGACATGGAAACTACACTCACTGGGCTGACTGAAGTCTACACCCATAGACCTGCTGGAGTCCCCTGGCCCGGTGTAGGCAGCGTTTTGCATTACGAAGAGAGCTTCGAAGACCGGGAAGTTAATGAAGAACAGTCGGTTGCACAAAGATATCCTTTGAGGGAAAGGCCGTTGGTGCAACTGTACACAATATCATGGCTCGTCTTCTTCTCTATACTCGGAACACTAGCACGCCTAGGCGTCGAATGGATAACTTACTATCCAAATATGCCTGTTACAACGAATGTACTATGGGCAAATTTTGGGGGCACGCTATTACTTGGCTTCTTACAAGAAGATCGGGTGCTATTCGCTGAACGAAAAAATCGCACGTCACTTAGCCCATCCGACTCCCGATCGATACCAAGAGTAGAAGACGAAGTCGAGAAACGCGACACCCAGTTCGACCATCTTTCTCTGAAGGAAAGAATCCCAGTACATATAGGCCTCACCGTCGGTTTCTGTGCTTCCTTCACATCCTTCTCATATTTCATGCGCGACCTCTTCCTCGCCCTATCCAACGACCTCGTTAGCGGAAACGTTAGCATCTTACCCCGAAACCGTGGTTGGAGTGTATCTGCAGTCTTAGCCGTCGCAATCACAGAAGTTACAGTCTGTATCGCGGCACTCTCGTTCGGCGCTCACATCGCCATATTCCTCCGCCCGCTGCTCTCCAAAATCCCCAACACAAATCCAACCCGCTGGCTGAACCCACTGTCAGTACTCCTCGGTTTTGGATGCTGGCTCGGCGCCATCTTTCTCACCGTCTGGCCTCCACGGAACCACTGGCGAGCTGATGTCCTCTTCGCCCTCGTCTTCGCTCCAGTTGGCTGTCTTCTGCGCTATCTACTAGCCCTTCGCCTCAATCCGCTAACCCCAAACTTTCAACTGGGTACTTTTACGTCCAACGTATTCGGTACTGCAGTCCTTGGGATGGCATATGTTCTTCAACGTTCGCCTCTAGCGCCTGCTGGAGGGGCAATTGGAGGTGGTGTTTTAGGATGTCAAGTTTTGGAAGGAATCATTGAAGGGTTTTGTGGGTGCCTGACTACTGTGAGTACGTGGGTGGCTGAGCTGAGAGCACTAAGGAAGAATCATGCGTATGTGTATGGTGTAGTGAGTCTGAGCGTAGGGTTGGGGATTTTGGTCATCATAATGGGAAGCGTGAGATGGACTAACGGGTTTGCGGAGTCAATTTGTGCTGGTTAGGGGTGTCAAACAGAAAGAAGGGGTTATGATGAAATGAGCATAAGATGAAGTAGGCAACCGTCAGGGAAGACGACACTAAATTCTTAAGTGGACTAACAACTAAAGAAATGCCACGCTGTATCTATAGTCTCCAATTGAGCATATTTTATTAGTGCATACCTGCTGCTATATAATTTTTCCTTAAAGGACTAATGATAATGAATAGACGGGAAAGCAACCAAAATGAAAAGCAGAGCAAGGACCGAATTGTGCTAACAGGTGCTCTTTAACCTCATACTAAAAGTCACATAACTTCTTTCTTAAGAACCATTCAATAAGTGGTAAAGACTGCAATCATGGCCTAGCATGATAAGACAAAGTGCTGGCCGTCATTCTACTTCATGTCAGTCGACCTGTACTCAACCAAAAACAAAACCACATCACATACCTTAATCCTCTCCCTTGGTATCCTTACCCAACCCGGCCATAAACTTCTCAATCTCCTCCTGAGACGGCGCCTCCCTGCATCCGGACGGGCAGCGACAGTCCGAGCGCCAACCCTGAACCTTACAGTAGTAATGGAAATTAGAGAGCTTCTCACTGATGGAGCTAGCGGCACAGTCGTTGTCTCTGAAAGTGCCATTGAGTATTTTGCAGGCAGCGGAGGTGGCGTCAGCGTGTTGCCCGCCGTTCTTGTCGATGCATTTGCAGCCTAAGATGGTGGTAGGGAGGAGGGCGGCGGTGATGGTGGCGAGGATGGAGATGCGCATGGTGGGGATGTAGTGAAAGTTTTTGTTGGATTGGAAAAGGGGCAAGTATGGACGATATTCTGGGTATTGAGATGAGATAGCAAGTAGTGATGGGAGGAACACGCTGGCCCATGACATTCATATACTTGTTCTGTGGTTGCTAGCATATCAGCACTAGCATCATTGTTTGCCCGTTTTCATCTTCATTGCATTTGGTTGTACTGCTTATTATCTTGTACTTACAAAATACCACCTATTGTCGCACATAAGGCTTTGCTCAATGTCCATGGGACTGAAAAGTAATGTGGTACAAAGGATGGGCTGACTATAAGTCACAGTCCTACGCAACGAGAAGGGCTCTTTCGCCTTCGACTGAAAACCTTACGGTTGTAGAGGGAGGCCTTATGTGCGAGATAAGCTATTAGTCTCTATTGTTATCCTATCGCAGTAAGGCTGGACAGATGTTTCTACTCTACCTGAGTGAGTTTGTGGATGCCACGGGACATGAATAAATACGTGGGAGTGGTGAATATGTCGTGAGAAACGCCGCACTATGCATGGAAAGGGACAATGCATTCGGATATGATGTGTTGAAGCTTCACTCGTCCATCTGCCACGCATACTCCATCTTCTCGATGTTAGCCTTCCGGTTTCTGCTCTTGAACCACTCGCTCTCAAACCCATTCCCCCTGTCCACCCCATCCCACCGATGTCCCGGTCGTATGCCGTACCGGTTGGGTTGGAACCCGCCTTGATAAAGTGGTTTTCCCGTGATACTCCTGCCTGCCTTTTTCTTCCTCAAGAAACCTGCAGCTGGATCGTTCCACTTGCTTTGCTCTTTCAGCTCGTCATTGAGCTCCGCATCATCCGCATAGCGTGCCAACGTCATCCCCTTCGCATCCTGTAACTGCTGTTTCTTCTTCATCGCCTCCGCGTTCTGCACATCGCCTCTAGCCGCCCTCTCTTCCTCGAGCTTTTTCCGCTCCTCATCCTCTGCCTTCTTCCTCGCCTCCGCGCGCTTCATAGCCACGTTGATGATCCGACCACTGGCATCTCTGTATATGGTCTCACTGGCCCCGCCCTCCTTGGCTACCTCTG